GGTTGCCAATACTGGGTTTGAGGAGTGGAGAGGCCTCAGCTGGATAAAATGTCACAGAGTCCACCCTCCAAAGCAGCCATTTTCTCCATGGAGACAGATCTGTGCTGTCTAGAGTTCAGTTGTAATTCTGGGGGGTCTCCAGGTCCCATTTGGAGGTGGGCAACCCTAAGCCTGGCAACAGTCTAGGGTTGCCAGGTCCCCCCTGATTTGCATGACTCAGCTAGGCCCGGCTGCTTGCTACCGTTCATCAGCAGCCACCCTATAAAAGCCAGTGAGGTGCAGCAGTTAGAGCTTCAAAGCAGGGTCTGCAAGATCCAGGTTCAAATCCCCATCTTGCAGTGGAAGCTGACTGTGTGATTTTGGACCAGTCACATATTTCAGCCTAACCAACCTCACAGGGTTGTTGTGCAGATAAAAAGGGTGGGATAAAAATGTAATAAATGAATGAATAAATGAAAAGGAGGAGAGAGTAATGTAAGGTGCTTTGGTCTCCACTGTGGAGAAAAACTGTAATTTTCCTAGGTAGAGGCTGTGGGGGATGGGGGTGAAGACAGAAAGGCAGATAAATGTAGCTTGGCTGTTGGGTAGGAAGGAAATAGGGTTGCCAACTCCAGGTTGGGAAATTCCTGGGCATCTGAGGGGTGAAGCCTGGAGAGGGTGGGATTTGAGGAGGGGAGGAACTTTGGATTCGTGTAATGCCATAGACTCCACCCTCCAAACCAGCCATTTCCTCCACGAGAACCACCATTGCCAGCCTCCAGGTGAGGGCTGGAGATCACCTGGAATTACAAATGCTGTCCAGGTGACAGAGATCAGTTCCTCTGGATAAAATGGCTGCTTTGGAGGGTTGAGTCTATGGCATTATAACCTGCTGAGGCTGCTTGCCTCCCCAAGCCTCACTGTCCCAAGGCTCCACCCCCAAATCTCCAGCAACTTCCCAACCTGGAGCTGGCAGCCCTGAGGTGAATTGATCTCTGTAGCTGGGAGATCCATTGTGATTCTCGGAGAACTGCCACTGCTGCTGTGGGAGGAGAGGAAGCAGGTGGGTGGCTGGGAGCACTGCCATGTGTTCCCTCTAAGCTGAGTTAGTGTGAGCTAGCCCACAGTTTTTTAGCCTCCAGCTCACGCATTTTTGTCTTAGCTCAGTAAGGATGGCTCCAGAGCAAACTAAATGATGCAGTAGCCAAATCACTCGCTCACAACTTTAATGCCAGCAGCTTACAAAGTAGAATTTTTGCTCACAAGACTCCACAGCTTAGAGGGAACATTGGCCACGACTGCTGCTGCTGCTGTGCAGGGTGGGGGAGGAAGCAAGGAGGAGGCTGGGAGAGTGATGGGGCAGAAAGAGAAAGAGTGATGAGGTGGGGAGGCAAAACAAACAAAGAGATTGATGAGGGGGCAGAAAGAGAGAAGAAGTAATATGCATGGAGGAGAGATAGAGAATAAGAAAAGGCAGAGCAGAAGGGAGAAAGAGTAGGGAGTGAGAGAGGTAGGGGAAGAGGGGTGGAAGCAAGAGTGAGGAATGGGATAACCATCCCGCAAGTTCCTTGTGGGTCTCCACTTGTTTCATCTCTAAAATGGATGCAAATATTGAAAAATGGACCATTGCTCTCCAACATTTCCACAAATGGTCATTCCCTCCAACATATCCATTAATGCACACTGAAAAGTCCCCCAAAGGCCTTTGTCTCAGCCAGAATAGTATTCCCATTTGCAAAATGTATGATGTCTTTATATCTCAGAATTACTGCACTGTGGTTTCTGTCTGGAAATACAATACTAGGATGATTAAAGCTGCCACCTATTATATTACTACAGTAACTTTAGGAGTACTGATAGCACTGAACAGAATGTTTCTTACACAAGGCATGTACTGTCCTTTTTATTCCATTGACAAGAAGACAATGGATAGGTTACCGGTGTTGACTCCCAAATGTCAGACTGTAAACAAAATAAACTTGAGGAATTTTTCTATGCTTTCCCAACCTCAAGCAGATTCAACATCTTAAAGCGTGATCAGGAGTGCCCTAAATCACCTTCAGTCTCAAGTCATGGCTCTCTTTTTGATCCAGCTAATCGTGCTATTGCTAGCATGGACTCTTGTTACTCTGATCTTCTCCAGATTTTAGCTTCACAGACTTTTCTGATTGCAGAAGTTCTACAGCAAAGTAGAACTAGCTGTTAAATAAATCTTGTTCATGCAGTAATTCCCCAGTAGATCTCACGTTTATCTTCTTGCTGTTCAACTGTAATCCTGCTTTGGCACTTTTTGTTTTAACCTTCATCAGTAGCTATTTCAAATCTTCACTATTTTCTGCCAGTAACATGAGGCCATCTGCCTGTCTCAGATTGTTAATATAACTTCCACCAATTTTCATTCCACCTTTATCTATGAACAGAGAGATAAAATGCATCCTTGTCTGATACCTCTGCCTACTGGAAACAATTCTGTTTCTCCATATTACGACCTAACAGGAGCCTCTTGTCCAGAGTACAGGTTGCACATCAAAACGATCAGATGCTGTGGCACACCCATTTCTTTTAAAACCAGCCATAGCTTTCATGATCCACACAGCCAAAAGCATTGCTGTAATCTATGAAACACTAGCTGATTGTAGTCATGGTCTGTACTACGATCAGCTCCTTGTCTTTATCTTAGCATAGAGAATGGAACTTCTCCATCTTCTGCCTCCAATTATGTAATCTATTTGATTTCTGTATTGGCCACCTAGTGATGCCCATGTATACAATTGGTTGGTTGGCTGCCTGAACATGTGTTTGCAATGAACAAATTGTTGTTTTCACAGAATTCCATGAGCTGCTCTCCTGCTAGTCCAAATCTTCCCACAATATTTGATTCTGCTTTGTTTCCTTCTTTTGTGTTCCAGTCACCTATGATTATCAGCACATCTTGTTTAGGTGCGTGATCGATTTCTTCCTGGACACTTGTGTAAAAGCTCTCAGTTTCTTCCTCTTCAGCAGCAGTAGTTGGGGCATAAACTTGAATGATGGTTATGTTGATACATTCCTACATAAGACATGGCATAATCCACTTTTATGAAGAGAAGTCATGCAGCTAAGACTTGGTGTTCTCATGTAACATTTCCCCACAAACTACCACTGCAGTGTCAATTCTAACAGGATTACTAGCCTAAGAAAAATCATAGTAAAAGGGAGCAAGCAAAAAATGTCCACTCATATTTTTAAAAACAGACAATACGCCAAGATCTGATTTTTTAAAAATAAGCTATATTAAACTATGAAAAAAATTGTGTATCTTGTCGAAATCATTCCAGGGATATGTTATTTTAGAACTAAGTAGAGGGCCACCAAGTATAAAAGCTAAGAAAGCCTGAAAGAGTAAGTGCGCCAGCCCTTTCCCCAGCTCTGCTTTAATTCCCACTTGCCACCCTTCCATCCATCACCAAGGCCTCTGCCAGGACAAAGTGAGGGGC